TAGGAGTTTGGGTCTGGGGGCCAACAAACCTGAGTTCAAATTCCAGGGCCACTTACCTTACTTTAATCTAAGCTCCTCATATTAAAACAATGGGGATATTCATCTACTCAGTTTTTGTGAGGAAATGCATGTCAGAAAATGCATGTAAGGTACTTATCATGCTACTTGGCACAAATTAAGATCTTGAAAAATTATACCTCCTATAATAATTTTTTTAAAGATTTATTTATTTGAGAGAGAAAGAGGGAGAGAGCGTAGTGGGCAGGAGAGGGGCAGAGGGAGAGAGAGAAAATCTCAGACTCCCCACTTAGTGCAGAGCCTAGGCAGGACTCGATCCCACAATCCTGGGATCATGACCTGAGCCGAAATCAAGGTTGGTCACTTAACCGACTGAGCTGACCAGGCACCCCCCATAATGATTTTTATACAACAGGAATTAGTTAGCTACAGTTGTAGTGATAACTAGTGATAGTGACTATGGAGTACATAACTAATCACCCCCAAACTTAAAATAAGTGGCTTAAAATAACTATTTAGCTCATGTTCCTGTGGGTTGACAACTGGGCCTAGTCTCAGTGGGGTAGTCTTACGTTGGTCTCGACTAGACTCACTCTTGAATCTTTGCTGAACTGGTAGATCACTTGGTTCTGCCTAATTTATGGTGGCCTCATTTGGAATAGTTGGGATGATTGGGGCCTCTCTTCCAAAAGGGAGCCCAGTCTTCACATTTTCTAAGTCTCTGCTTACACTATTTACCATTGTCTTATTGGACAAAGTTGCAAGGCCAGCCCAGATTCCGGAGTGGAGAAAGTGTACTTCTTTTGGAAGGAGTCAACTCCAAGAATGTGGATACAGCCAGGCAAAGAGATTGAGGCTACTATTTCCAATCTACCACAAAAAGCCTCTTCCATTCTTTGATTTACCTGTTTGCTTCTTGTCTCTATGTCCTTTATGTTTATCTCTTCATTCCCTCCCTATCTTCCTCTTTTTCTCCCTCAAATATTTACTAAGCACCCAATATGTTCCATATATAGGAGATGCAGCAATAAATGAGATTTGATTCCAGTTGTCATAAAAGTCTTACGAAGGACTCACCGCCGAGAATGCCACTATATTTAAAGGAGTATTTTTTTTTCTCTCCTTTTAGCAGTTCCACTACATTCTGTGTTAAATGCTAAAGCTAGCTAGCATTTTAGTAAGTAACAAGAGATAATGCTTTCCTCTAATTGTTTAAAATGATAGTGTTTCTAAGGAAGGGTTTCCAGCTGTTTTGGCTGATTTAATCAAGAGTTCCTAATTATCTCAGGATTTTGCTCCCTATCCATTTGCAATTGTCTTTACAAAGCACAGAGGACTGTGATAATCGGCTCATGGGATGATCAGGAAGTTGGGCCTTGCACTGTGTTCCAGTTGGCCCAGAAAGGGTTGGTGATGACCTTCTGGATTAGGGGTTGATCCTTTTCAATTCTTTTCATGTGTGTTCGCAACTAGTTTGGCTAGCACCTGAGTGAGAAAATTACTCTAGAATTCAGAGGGCAGTGATCTCAAAATGCATGAGCTTACCCGGCAGCAGAAATGGCCCAATGAGGTATGTGACTCTGAATTAGAGCTTTGTCTTGCTTAATTCTTTCCTAAGGCAATGGCGTTCAACTTGGCTGCACACAAACACCCAAGGTGAGCTTTTAAACTGGGTCCAGGCCCAGGCCGTGGTGCAGACCAGCTACATCAGAATCATGGGACTAGGATCCAAGGATGGATATTCTTTAAAGCTCCCCCAGTGAGTTCAAAGTTCAGACAAGTTTGAGAACTACTGCCTTGAGGAGATTTGTAGAACATCACAACCCAAGGGAATGTCTCTTGGTTTTGAATTTGAGGAAAAGTAAAATCCAGAGAAGTCATGGGCTGTCAAAAGGTCAGGTAAGGGGGAAGGCAGGATTCCAACTCAGGTTTGCTAAATCCAACGTCTGTGCTTTTTTGAATGCCTCATGAGAACTGGAAAGCCCTGAATCACTCTTAAGCAACGGCAGAAATGAAATGGAATGAAATGACACAAAAAGGGCACATCATTGATATAAATATTGAACAAGAAGGAAAACTAAGCAATGAGAGCATCAAATTGCATCCTGATGACCTTTTGGGAATAAACTCTTGGGAGAAATAAATATCCTTGCAATTAATTCCTATAAACTTTCAATTTGCTGGCAATTACCTTGGAACACTAAAACGTGTGCCAATTAAAAGTGAATTGTCTCTGTGCCTGATTTAGAAATTGGAACAAATAGTGGACTAAACTGGAAGCAGCTATTTTGGGCAATTTGACCAAAAGCTAATGTTCCAGTAGGATGCCAATGATGATCTTTCTAATATCATTTTAACTGATAGTATCAGGCAGGCATTCTTTCTGGAAGAGAGATCTAGTGGCTCATCTCTGGGTCAGCAAGACAGGGTGTGCAAGTAAAAGTACTGGGCAGTGTGGGGACTGACAGATGGAGAAAGCCCATTTCCTACCAGCCCAAATAGGGCTTCAAAAGGGGAATACTGGCAGAGGGGATGGAAGGGTGTTTGCAAGACAGACGACGTGGTCCAGGAGAGGCTACCAGTCTTAGATCAAGTCTAAAGCAGGTGGTGGCAGAATTAGTCCTCTCAGAGAAAAGGGGAAGGGGGTGCACAGGCAGAAGGTGATCCAGAGGACTTGATAGGGAAAAGGGGTCTGTATGGTACCTGTGTTACCAAGACCCCATGTGTAAACCAGGAAAACACTTAGGTATGTTGTATGTGATCCTACAATTATGAAGTTATTATTCCTGACTTTCAGCTGTCCTTCCCCAGAATCTTTGGCTGCTGATTTAATTTCTGGCAACAATACAAACCAAAAAACCAAGGGGATTAAAAAAAAAAAAAAAAAAAAGGAATCAAACTCATTATGGGCCAGACTATCTCAGGGCTTTTGTAATTTGCATCTTTTTTTGAGTAATGTAAGCAGAGATGTCTGTCCTTTGGAATCATATCCTCCTTCGGCTTACGGGGCACTGTGCCCTTTGGATCTCCTCTATCTCTGTCTCTTTGGCTCCACACCCTCCCTCAGCAGGCTTTCTGTGACTCCTGGCTTTAGCTTCTGTCTGTGGGCCAAAGCTTCCCAAATCTCCAACCTTGAGATCCCTCCATCTGCCTTCAGCCTGGTATGCCCACCTGCCTTCAGAACTATTCACTTGGATGTCTCCCTTGAATGTCGCCTCAAGCTTAATGTGTCAAGGAGAAACTCACATCCTTTCTTCACACCCCTTCCCTAAAACAGCATTCCCTCCCAACTTGTCTACTGCTCTCCCAGTATCATTTGTTTCCTTCTTCCAGCTTTGGAGTTACATAACTAACAGATGCCTCTCTTTTGCTCCCAAGCCAGCAGCCAATAAATCCCAGGGATTCTTCTGCTGCAGTAAGATTCAGCTCATTCCTTTTCCACAGCCACCACTAAGACCAGGCACCTAACACTCCCTTCAGCGTCAGTCCTAAGGACTCCCTTCCATGGCTTCTGTTTCATGCTGTCCACTCTGCAGAACCCTGCTTCTGATTATTTAATGCCACTGTCCTCATAGAGAACCTAGAATGGTTTCTCAAAGGGCAAATTCCAAGTTTGCAAGGTTGTTCATTAACTAGTTCTATTTTATCTGTTTTTTTTTCCATATACTGCATAAATATGTACTTTGTTAAATAGGTATTAAATGAAAATGCTCTAACCCCCTACTGTGTGCTGGGTAGGGATACATAAATATGGACTATGGTATTTGCCATTTTCTGAAAAGTGCATAGTCCAGTGGTGGACTTAAGCACTTATGACAGTCTGATTAAGATTCAATGGAAAAAGTGCTACAGCAGAAGCAAGTTAAGATACTGTGAAATGTCTCAGGACAAAAACTGGGAGCAGGAAAGATGTTATAGATGATAAAGATATGCAAAATGCATTGAAGGATAAGTAAGTGTTGGCCAAGTACTTGGTAGTTTGGCTTTCACCCTTAGCAAGAGATGATCTGGTGTAGAGCACTACACACACTCTGCTCTCACAGCTTCTGTGACTTGCTCTTCATTGCCCTCCACCGCCACCCACGCCCCCAGCCTCTTAAAGAGGAAATTACATTGGGGCGCCTGGGTGGCTCAGATGGTTAAGCATCTGCCTTCGGCTCGGGTCATGATCCCAGGGTCTTGGGATCGAGCCCCATGTCTAGCTTCTGGCTCAGCGGGGAGCCTGCTTCTCCCTCTGCCTCTCCCCATGCTCGTGCTCTCTCTCTCTGTGTGTGCCTTGAATGAATAAATAAAATCTTTATTAAAAAAAAAAAAGGAAATTACATTTTCTTTTTTTTTAAGATTTTATTTATTTATTTGAGACAGAGAGAGAGCACACGAGAGGGGGGAGGGTCAGAGGGAGAAGCAGACTCCCCGCCAAGCAGGGAGCCCGATGCGGGACTCGATCCCGGGACTCCAGGATCATGACCTGAGCCAAAGGCAGCCGCTTAACCGACTGAGCCACCCAGGCGCCCAAGAAATTACATTTTCTATCCTCTCAAAAAATGCTCTGCCCTCACCCGGAATGACCTCAGGGCGTCTCCAATCATGCTTTCAGAGAAGTGGAACGCACTGCAAGTTCAACAGCTCATGCAAAAAAAGCCCACAGGTATTCCATGCACTTAAAGCAATCAGGCATACCCTCACAAACATCATAAAGCGGTGCAAGTGTAAAACGTGAATATCGCTAATGCACCGCGAGTAAGGACTCATGGAAACGAATAGGACTCAAATCACTAGGGCTTCACCACAAAACCGAGCCCCAATTTATTCCAGGCAACTGACTGCCCTCCTCTAGTCCCCGCCCCCTGCCCGCGCCGGACCGCTCCTGGGCGGAGCTCGGCCACAGCGCGGGGGCGGGGCCGGGGCGCCGGCGACGTGCTGACGCCAGGGCGTGGGGACGCCCAACGAGGCGTCCGGCGCGCAGATGGGCCGGCGGTGGCTGTTGTCGCTGGCTTCGTCGCGCGAGACACGGGGCCCGCGTCTGTTCCCTCCGCCCTTCTCCTTTCGCCTGGTCCGGGTCTCGGTGGCCCGGCGCCCGCCCGCCATGGTGCGGTCGGCGCGCCCTGCGCGGCCCCGCTGAGCCTCCGTGCGGCGGCGAGCGCGGCTCGGGGTCACCATGCCTACCCGTGAGTGTCCGGCCGAGGGTCGGGCCGGGCGGGGGGCGTCGGGGGGCCGCGGCCCGCTCGGCGCGCACTCCGGGTGGCCCGCTGCGGCGGCGGGGAAGCCGGGCCAGGCGCGGGAGAGCCCGGAAGTGCCTGCGACCCGCCGAGTTACTTTCGTTTCGGCTTAGCCTTCCCGCGGGGCGGCGTGATCCCGTTGCACAAACGGGGAAACTGAGACCCGAACGTTAAGGACGCTCGGCTAGTAAGTGGCTGGGCTGGAGTAACCTAGACCTGTGGGACTTAACAAAGTCCACTCTCTTTCCCCAGCTCTTTACAGAGCCGGGGTACTTCGTGGAAATGCTGAAAATAACTGCGGTCGCGTCACGTACTCACTTCCTCCGGGACCAGGCGTCGCCTAGTTGGACGCACGGTTCGGGGGGATCCGGGCCCGGCCCAGAGTCCCTCCTCGAGGCTCGCGAAGTTCCCCGTAGCCTTGACTCTCCCCGTCCGTAACGCGCCGGGGTGGCTGAAGTAGGTGCTCTTTTGGGAGCTTGTTAGGCTTCTGTGCCCCAGGAAGCTGTTGGACCGCCTGCTTCAGATTCACCTGGCTGCTGATTGAGAATGTTCAGGGTTCCTCCCTAGGCACACTGATTCCTAGGCTTGGGCCCCGGAATCTGCGTGCTTAATAAGAGGTCTTGGTGTTATTGAGGGACCCTAAAGTTTGAAGAACAGTGCATTTGGGGGACGTTTTGGACAAACCGGGCAGAGCAGTATTTCTAATGGCCCATTTCAGGACGACCCAGAGAATTGCAATGTGACTTTAAACCCAGTGGCCCACAGAGACTCCCTAATTAATCTTGGACGGGAGGAAGCAAGATGATGATTGATTATAGAGATTGTTTTCGATTAGGGCGCTTTTGAGTAAGTGTTCCATATTGTAAAGTCTGTAACCACTTGTAAATACGCTCCTAATTAGCTCACATTTCTTTGAATTCCTAACTCCTCACCGTCCTTATTTTGGTAGACATACGGGACAGTGGATTTCCAGGTCAGCCTCAAATGCGTGTTTTGTGTATTGGTTGTAAAGAGGAATTATTTCCAGATATTAGAAAGGTTTATGTAATGCTGTGAATGAGCTTGATGAAACGATTACTTTTAACCGCTCCTACGTGGGTGGGTAAGGTGGATTTTGTTTTATGAACACAGTAATTTGTGTGTTCTTAACTCATGGTCTTGAATTTTGTATTAATTTAATATGTCAGCAGTTTATATTTTCATTGTATTTCTCCAGACTAGAGGAATATCATCATAATTATAATTGCTATTTCTAAATTCATGTCATTGAGGAATATTTTAGATTAGCATTGTGCTACTCTTACCGTCTGAGAGAGGAAAAGGGAAGGAATAAAAACGTATTCTTGAAAGTTAAGGCTTCAAATGGAATTTATTGGTGAAATGGCAAAATATGTTGTGAAATTAAACAGATTTTTAGTTCTAAGATTAGCTTCATGGAGTGGATTTAGAAAACTTGTTTCTTTTAAAATACATGATTTACAATGCAAAATGAACCATGCTGTATTTGCATAGTTAAGAATGCAGATTTTATGACCTGATTGGAAGGCAAGTGAAACGTTTGAATTATCTGTCATTACTGTTAATATTTATTATGGTACAGTTTCTGTGATTGCATGAAGTGTAGTACCAGCTGGTAGTACCGCTGTGAAGTGTTCATATTGCCTTTTGTCTCCTTTTATGGCCAGAACCACCAAAAATTGCTGGGATAGTTCAGCAGACAGTAGTACTTCTCGGGAACTCTGCCTGTAGAATAAATTGCAACATAAGCAGAGACAGCAAAATTACTACTTTCTTTGGGAATTTCTTTTTCCCCTTTGGGGATGTTTTTAGGAAGAAATCTCTCCAAATAAATTGTTTGTGTGGTGGTGGTGTTTTTTTTTAATGTCAGATGAGTTCAGAGGCTCATTTGTAAGCTCAGCTAGTTAAAGGCTTTAGTGAATAAATGTAATGCTTTTCTGTTGGAGATGATCACTAGGGTCTCTCAGACTCTCTAATTCTGAAAGTGACCCTTGCTCCAGAATTATACTAGAATTATTCTAGTATTGCTGTTTTGTTGCTTATTTGGAATATTGATACTCTCAAGTCATTGAAACTGATGTTAATAAGCGGAATCTGATGGAGCATGGTATACCCCTGAAGGCTAAGCAATTGCATTATCTCATGAATGGTAATGGTAGCTTTATTGGAATTATTTTGGAGAGCTGTAAACTCTTTTTCAGAAAGCAGCTACCTGGAAGGATGCCTGGCGGGAAGCTACTGCGACACAGGAGCAGTTTTGTGGTTATGTCACTCTATTTGCAGCCAGTAGTTTGCAATAATCACTAAGCACAGATTTCAAGAGTGTTTCACTAAATGATCTCTTCAAACCTACAAAGGTATAATTTGATACATCATTTCTCTAGAGGCCTTTATTTCTTCCTCTAGTTTCAAAGGACCGTTAAGAAACATTTTGATATTAAAGATTTTCAAACAATAAGAATTTGAGTGGAAGAGGGTATGTGTTGTGGTGAGCACTGTGTATTGTATAAGACTGATGAATCACAGACCTGTACCCTGAAACAAATAATACATTATATGTTAATAATGAAAAAAAGAGAAGAATTTGAGTGGGAGAAATGTTAAAGCTTCTTAATTCAGTGATTTTCTTTTCTTTTTCATATCAGGAGACTGAGACTCAGTGAGTTTCAGTAACTTGGCTAAGGTCATACATGGGATAGAACCAGGACTTGAATGTAGATCTCCTCCCTATAATCCTTAACCACAAGGAGCATAGATGAAGTTTATTTTTGGTTTTTCAGCATTAAGTTGATTATAGTTTACCCTCTTCCCCCACTTTTTCCCCTGAGGTTACATGAAGACAAAAAGTAAGCTTAGCCAAAACTTTAGTCAGACATGTGAGCTTACAAGAAAATTTAACATTTTTGCCTTTTCTTCTGTCTTGTCACAGGACTCTGGGCAAAGAAGGCTGAGGATTTCACTGATGTGCTCAATAGATACTTGGTTGTATAGGCACAGACTTCCTTTTTAGTAAACTACTTTGTGAAAGGGTTTCCGTAGCTGACAGTTTGCCTAAAAACAGGTCCAGTAAGATGTGTTCTTTTATGATCTATGTAAAGGTATTGTGTATGGCTAAGGGGAACTGAAATGCTTAACCATTGTTCGCTATAAATAACTATACTTTCAGTAATTGGTGGTTAAGGCTTTCTTTTCTCACTTAGATGTTGGCATTTGATATCTGGTCAGATTTGTTAGGCTATGGTAATGTGGTCATTCCATGTTTGTTTTTTTCCACTGATGGGGCTGATTATATTTGACTTATTTTTCAGTCCATTCTTATGAAAGAGGTGCAAGATACTGACGAATTGTGAAGTGAAAGATGGAGGCTGGTTGAAGTGTTTCCATTTAGAAATGCATTATAAGCAAATGACCTATTCCTGACTTGGGAGCCTTTTGTGTTCATTTGTTCTCTATGCCCCTCCTCACCCTTCCACCGAGTACCTATGTTTACTGCCAGAGTTACAGCTAAAAGAATTTTCTTACTCACAGTGACCTTTGGCTTGACACTGGTTACTACCAGATCTCATCTTTCAGTCTGTTCCCACTCATGGGACATATGACATTAAAGATGATGTGGGTGGTGGAAGATAAAGCTGGAGGAGATGGGAGCCAGAATTTGAAGGATCTTAATATGCCATGCAATGAACTTGACTAAAATTGTGTTCAAGCTGTCACAGTCACAGTAACAATGACTCTCCTTTTCATAGGCATACTAGCCATTTCCAGCATACTGATTACTTTATAAAAAATGAAAACTTGCTATTAGTAATAGAGAATTAATAATTGAATACTGTTGTGTGCCACGCGGTATACTTTGTGCTTCTTATTATCTTTTCCTTTGTGGGAGGCCCTATGTGACATAGAAATAGAGAGATTGAAGTTCAAGGAAGTTAAGTAACTTGCCTAATGACAGTAAATGGTGGAATGTGGGATCAGAACTAGATGTGTGTGACTTCACAGAGTCCCAGTTCTTTTTTCTTACTACACTGCTCTGAGCCAGGCAGGATTGAATCTACCAGATACTATCAATTTCTTTTGACACCATTACTTTTGCTTAGCACTGTGCTTAATTACATAATAAGTGCTTGGTAAATGTTGAATAAATGAATGATTGAATCTTAACTGGAGTCACAGAAGTTATTCTTTGGATACTAAAACCTGAAATAAACTTTTTTTTCTGTTAAAACAGTGTTATAAGAGTTCTATAATTTAGGATTAGGTTCTTAGCAGGCCTGCTTATAACATTTGTGAGGCCTGAGACAAGAATAAAAATGGAAGCTTGCAAATCATAGTCTTAATCAGGATTTCTCGAACTTTGCTCTTTTGATGTCTTGGATCGGATAATTTTTTGTTTGGGAGGTACCGGGCTGTCATGTACTTTGTCTTGAGATGTTTAGCAGCAACTCTGGCCTTTATCCACTAGAGGCTTATAGTAAATTCCCCTGTTCCTCAAAGTCTTGACCATCAGAACTGTTTCCAGACATTGCCAAATGCCCCCTGGGGGTCATAATTGTCCCTGGTTTGAGAACCACTGGTTCAAAGATTGAACTGTTGTAGATTAGGCTGTGCTTGCCGCCTGGTGGCTTGCTTTCCTGTCCAGGGTCCCTGCAGCCTGCTCCCCAGAGATTGCCTTCTCAACCAGAGGCCCAAAGGAGCGTGCGGGGCTGACTGAGTCAACAGTGACCTGTTGGGTCAGGGCAGGGCCTTTCCTGACCCTGAATTCGGGTTGACCCTGTTACAGTCCTTCAGGGACCCTGGGCAGCTTCCCCTTTGTCCATACCTTGCTTTTCCATCTCAGGATTTCCACAGTTCTGAATACCTTGCAAAGCTGTACTATGGGGATAAGGGGGAGGTGGGAGGAGTTAGCCCAGCGTTCTGGGGAACTTGCCTGCCATTGGGGGTAATTTGGAGTGAGCAGCTTGAAACAAAAACAACTAAAGCCATCCTTCTCTGGCTCTCTAGGCTGTGGTTTTCAGTGTTGCCTCTCTGTCCCCTCCTCAGCCCACAGATCCCTCTAAAAGAAAAAAAGTCCTTTGTTTTGGGGGGCAGAGGCCCTTTTTTTTTCCTGAGTCAAAAATGAAGGTCCTAGTTCTTTTTTTTTTTTTAAGATTTTATTTATTTCTTTGACAGAGAGAGACACAGCGAGAGAGGGAACACAAGCAGGGGGAGTGGGAGAGGGAGAAGCAGGCTTCCCGCTGAGCAGGAAGCCCGATGTAGGGCTCGATCCCAGGACCCTGGGATCATGACTTGAGCCGAAGGCAGATGCTTAACGACTGAGCCACCCAGGCGCCCCAAGGTCCTAGTTCTTAGGAGAAAGCTACATTTTACCCATTGCATAACTGTGCTGTGATATGGAATGACCCAGTTGTCATGAATGGGGTTTCAGTAGGAATGTGATGGATTGCAGAGGACAAATCTGATTTCATGTACTCTGTCATGCTCTCCCTTTGCATATTTGTTTACTGCTGCCTACCTTTAGGTATTATTAGGTAACATGATTCC